AGACAGCCCACACTCTGTTTTTGGAATATATCTCTCTCTAAATAAACCTGATTTCACTTTACTATGACTTATTCTTGAATTCTTTCCTGTGTGAAGCCAAGGACCTTCACTTGGCAGCTGTCCCAGGGGCTCACTCAATACTTGAGACATGACTGTCCTCTGGTGTTCCACTTTTCCTACAACAAGTAGATCTGTGAGGGAGCATTCTTGCATGATCAGTCGCTTCGGTCATGTCCGACTCTTTGCAACTGTATGGACCAGGCTCCTATGTCCATGGGATTTTCTAGGCAGGAATACTGGAGTGAATTGCTATGCCCTCCTCCAGGGGATCTTCCCAGCTCAGGGATCAAACCTGAGTCTCCTGCACTGCAGGTAGATTCTTTACCACTGAGCCATCGAGGAAGCCTGACTCAAGGCCAAGTACAAACAAGCAACCAACTCACAAGACGGCAGGAACAGCAGTGCTCCACAAGGGAGTGGGCAAGGGTGGGTGCACAGAAGCTCTGAGGCAAGAAGTGACCAGGGGCAGCTGCTGGTATTGTGTCTCTTGGAGAGGGTGCTGAAAGACCAAAGATACCAATGGCAAGTGAGCAAATCCCAAGAAATTCTTTTACTCCTCCTCTAAATATCCTGCTATGAAATTTTTATGGAGAGTAGAAAAATACCTTCTAATGTTGGTAGAGTGCTTTAGAAATAGATAATAGAAATTCAGGAACATGTAGTCAGTAAAGAAGCTTTAGCCCTGGATTATTTGGCAATAGCAGACCTCACTTCATAAATAAAACAGGAATTCAAGAATTGTGGGCAGAGGAGCCATCTCCTTTGACTGAGAGACCTTTTCCACAAGGAGAGAAAGAACTCTGGAGAATATAAAACAGGACAGGGTAGAATTCAGGCTATCACTACTAGAGCATTTACCAAGGTTGAGTAAATCAAGAGAAGCAGCAGATCAGATTAAAAACACAAATTCACGTCTACCTTTTGTTGCTGAACCTAAATTACTCATGGTGGTAGAGTCCATTAATCAGATATATACCATATTCACTCTCATAATTTCCTTTTTACAGATATTTGGTTTTCTTAGTTGAAAGGGAGGATAATTATATGGATGATTATGGTACCAGATTCATTGTCTCACCAAATCTGAATAAAGATAAAGGAACAATGGTTAAATGATCTGTTTTGTATGTTCCTCTTTACATCTGACATCTTGAAGTGAGAAAAAAAATCATGTGTTCCGTTTCAAACTTCAGGGAGTAAGTACATCAGTACATACAAAAGCCGCTCATCACTGTTTTGCTTGGTTTTTCCTGTATGGTTTCCCATGTTACCGACATTTCTCGGATAATCTACTTTTTAACCTCACCTTGTAGCACTGAATAAGGACTCAGTGCTTCCCTGGCCTCAGCAATCATTGCATTCCAGTTGAGACATCATCTCAGTACTGAGCAAAAACCCACAGGTAGAATTCTGTTAAATGCCACAAGCCGCCACTCAGCATCTGCAGATCTGCAGCTCAGTAAGCGAGAAGAGACAGAAAATGGCAAAGTGGCCCTCCAGCCCCGTTCTGAAAGGCCGCGTGCTGATCGTTCCCAGCCTCTGCTGCCTTCATTAGCCGGAGAGCTGTGGACCAGCCTTGCTGCCGTGAAGGGGCCACCCCGCCTCCATCCCACCGGATAACGGACGGCTGGCCTTGAGTGCAGCCTTTCTCAGCCTGCGTTTCAGATTCAAAACTGTAAAATAGAAAATACAGCCGACTGCCTGAAGGCAGAGGAACCCACCAAAAAATCATTAATGCGGCATGTATTTCTGACCCTGGCTGCTCTGGCATTACCAGGTCCCCAAAGCTGGCCTTGGTCTCTTCACTGGTGTGAGCCTGCGCTCTGACTGTGGATTCAGCCGCACCCCTCCCCCTGCATGGTGACACGAAGTGGCCTCTTCTCCATGAAGCTGAAAACCTATATATATATACACATGTGTGAATATGTATTTCTGACTTTGAGTTCCCTGTGTATACATTTTACCTACCTTTCCCTGAGATCTGAATTAAGGCCAGATAATATCACAGTCCCAGTTTAAATAGTGATATTCTCTCCTCCTTTGATGATTTATTTCATATATATATATAATATAAACCTTTCATAAAAATTCTTATTATAAGAAGTATAACACCTGTGGGCTGCTGAGCTTTTGTGGTAATTTAACCATGAAGAATGTGTGTACGTGAGAGGATGATCTTTACCTATCACTTTCTTACCTACAGCCTTAACACAGAAGTAGATTTTGTTTTCATCTAAGTCAATTTTTATTTTCCCTACATATGTGGAAACTATAACAGTAAATGATTCATTTGTACTTTAACACTTAAGAAACTACCAACTCTCAGTTATGACAATTAATTAATATGACTGTAAATTTCACCATGCTGTCTTATTTATTATCCTTTCTGACTATGCCAGTACCTTTCCCTACCTGAGAGGTAGGTTAGGTAGCTTCTTCCATCCCTTTGTGGCTGGCAAGTAATCTGAGACAAAGAGATTCAGTTACACCCCCAGATCTGGTAAAGCCTGTACCTTAGGGCTAAAACTCAAGTCCCTTTGCTCTAGGATCTTTCCCCACTCCCTCGTGACTCTCTGTATTTCAATGGAGAAAACTGACTATTTGGATGCGTATGTGCTCACTCTCTTCATCCAATCCTTCATGACCCCGCGGACTGCAGCCCACCAGGCTCCTCTGTCCGTGGGATTTTACAGGCAGGTATACTGGAGTGGGTTGCCATTTTCTCTTCCAGAGGATCTTCCCAACCCAGAAATCGAACATCTCCTGCATTGGCAGGCGGATTCTTTACCACTGAGCCACCTGGGAAACCTGACCACTTGGATAAAAATAAAATAATTTTCATCATTTAGGACAATGAGTTTATATATACACATGCTTATGCTGAAAGTAAAATGGTGGCATCGTGTATTTGGTAAAAAGGAGTGAAATATAACCATTAACCAAATAAGAAGTCAGATATCTAATCTATAAGGACTCTTCCCCCAAATCACATGATATACCACTCAAAATCATCATTTCTTTTGTTGAATGTCATTTCCCATAACTTCTTGGACTCTTTGCATAATGATAAATGTGTTCTTAAGTCTTAGGATGTTATCATTTTTTTGGCACTCTCTCAGTTCTTAAAATTCAGATTTGGGTGGAGAAAATATAGACAGCTTTTTCTTTATGGGCTGTAAGAAGCATCAGTCAGTTACTTACTGAGCATTCACATTGTAACATGTCTTGGGTCTTAAAGGATCTTTGGTCCCAGGCAACTCATACTCTAGAGAATGCTTGAGATAAGTATCGTAAAATTGTGCAGAAAAAACATCCTGGTTCTACTTACCTATGTCTTAACTTTCTTGGAGAAACTAGCATTTTCAAAATAATGAACAACCAGTTATTTATTTCATTTTTGGTGAAAGTAACTCCACAACACAGGTTGAGAGAAGCAAAAGTGTAAGTCTCAAGTAAATAGTTTGAGGCTCCAGTAATAAGAAGGAGAACTGATCCATAGTAGAAAAAATAAAAAATAAAAGCCTTTATTCTTGCAGTTGGATGCAGCACAGCCCTACCACCGTGCTGATCCTGAGAGCTGAATAGAATTTGTTGTGACTAACCAACCAAGCTCAGCAATAAAGAATCCATCTGTGATGCAGGAGAGTGGGTTTGAACCCTGGGTTAGGAAGATCTCCTGGAGAAGGAAGGGGCAGCCCATTCCAGTATTCTTGCCTCAGAAATCCCGTGAACAAAGGAGACTGACTGGCCGGCTACCATCTGTGAGATCGCGAGTGTTGGACGTGAACTGACATGAACTGAACACCACTTCCCAACTAACCGCATGCATAGGGCTTTCATATGAGTTCAACCTGAAGAAAGTCCAATGGGAAACAGTAAAATAGGCCTTATTTTAGAGGCATTTACATCCTTGCTGACAACATGATGGATCTGCTGGGACAACGTGACTGTCTGGCAACCCCTGCACACTAAGATGATCCTAACAGGAATTAACGGCAGAGAATCAGTCATTTCCCAGATCAACATCAGCATGCAGCAAGGCCTTTCCTGGGAGACAAAGGAATAGAAAAACTTTTCAGAGGTGAGGGAGCCATCTCAGTCACATTATTTACTTACTCAGTTCAATTTTTTAGTGTCTGAAGTCACAAAAGTTGTAACCAAGACAAACCAGGCTACAAGTACCATTTTAAAAATGTCATCAGCCTAGCAGAAACATGAGACATAAATCACAAGTTTTATTGTATTTGCAATTAAACAGATCAAATTTAATGTCCACAGAAAAGCCTTAGTAATTAGGATAAAGATTAATATAGTGAAATGTCCCTGGTTTAGGAGGCCACCCAAGCAAAGCTGAAATAAAGAATTGAGTATATAATCGAATAGCATGTGAATATTAATGCACGAAACCATCCAAGTCCCCAGATCCCTGATGCAATTATTTTCTATTCACATTAATTGTTCCTAACAGATGACATTAATGACTTTGAGTTGAAATGTGTGCAAGGGAAGATTTCACAAGATCAATGCTGTTTAGAAATAAGGTCATTTTTATAATTATTTGCTCAAATTTTAACCACTGCTCAACATAATAAGGTTAACATGGTGAGTGTTTCATAATGTGAATATCAAAAGTTAATTTTCATGCTGGCTAATAAGTATATTGGGGTAGTCACATTTTTATTACTATTTCTTTTTCCTTGCTATTTATTTTCCAACACATATTGACAGACTGTGAAAGTGTGCTTATTGTTTATAAGCTGTAATTTGTACATGTGTACATATAGAACACTAACAAACTCAGATAAACATTTTTTGGGGTTAGGATATGTGTTATCTAATCTAGAAATGTCAACTCTTTTGAGATTTACGTGACTGAGGCAGAATTTTGAAACAAACAATTAAATCAACACTGTTCAAAGTTTCTGCCTGTTTTTACCCAGAAACTTCACTCACGCATCTTAGATCTTTCATCCGGGGATTTACTCTCAGATGTGGAAAGAAGCCAGAGTCTGACGCACTCACGCAGTGATGTTGAAATGCATGTGAGTTTCCCTGTCGCCTTCAGAACACTTGTTCAGGTGGTTATTTTCCTCCATCAAATATGATGTCACAAGTGAACCATAAAACGCATCCTTGAAGCATTGTCAGGTAGATAAAAATACTTTGCTTTCTTGTGTTCTCTGCAATTCAGCATCATATCCCCCAGCTGATAGAGTAAGTAGAAAATGTCACTCTCAGCAAAAATATTATAAATCTTGCCTTGTCCCCAAGATACCTTTTTTGGGTATTGATTATATCTCAAAGTCGCAGAGAAATGGTCAAGGAGCTTTTTATTAAAGCCCGTGTCCCATATTACTCATCTGACTTTTATGATATATTATGTATGAACTTTTAAAAATTCATGGGCTGTACTTTTTTTTCTTTAGCTAGGGTTAGCTTTGTGCTTATTTTGCAAAACTTTAACCAGTGTGGTTTTTAACTCTCATTGACATTAAAAAAAAAAAGATAGCTTGAAAAATACAAGAGTCAAATATATAATGAAAAATGTTAGTCTTAAAACAATGACTGATGGGCATTTGTGGATAACTGGCCTTTTAGTTTACTGTATAAATTTATAAGTATAGCTAGAAGAATCTATATCAAAAGTAAATATTCTCAAGTTAGATTGGAATTGCTTGTCAGTGAAGTACTGTCACCTTTAAACATTCTTGAAGGCCCTAATGCCATCCAATATAAAAGATGGCCTTAAGATCAGGAATTTTTTAAGTTGCAAATTTTAATCAAGAAATTCTTGCCTTCATTCTCTGTCTCTCTCCTTTTTTAAACTAAAATTGTGGATTTTGTATTGCATTCCACATAATAAGGATGTTAAAGCATATGAGTTCTTCAAGGTGGTAATCTAAAATACACTATGGGAAAAAAACACTTTGAATAGTGCAAACAGTGTACTTTGTCAGTTCAATCAACATAATTAAGGTAATGTTACAATGGAGACCAACATACATCTTTAGGCAAACAAGAATTTTATTAATAATAATTATCTATTACAACTCTTCTCAGGAGGATGCTTGGCAGTCTGTATATGTCCAGGAGTTCTGTTTATTGTCAAGGGCCTTACTTAGAGCTATAGCATAGTGGCTGGGACCTGGGCCTGACATCAGAACCTTGTGTTAACTGGGTGACCTGGGACAAGATTTTAAAGCTTCAGTTTAACAGTGCCTCAGGTTCCCCATCTGGAAAATGAGAAGAATGATATTTCCGTTCTATTTCTGAGAGTTGTGGTGAGGATTAAATGAGATAGCATATGACATGTACATAACACAATACCTGCTGAGAATTTGGGGCCATAATGAGATCTCTGCTGCTCTGACTGTCTTCTCTTCTAAAATATGTGGCCCCATGTCACAGTCACAGAAGAACATGTCAGAGATGGAGAATGAGAGCTGAGATAAGTACCTGCTAGTGTGCCTGTCCAGGTCACATCAGTGATCCCCAGAAACAAAGTACACCCACTTCCGACTCTTCCTCATCACAGATCCCATGTGCAAGGCATCAGATATGATGGCATGTTAAAGGTAATACAGGGTCCCTTAGGGAGGCTGTAAAGTACCATTTTGTTGAAGGGCCAGGACACACACATACTAAAATAAAACCTTTTAGTGATAGTAGCAAAACCTAAAAGTTAGTAAACTTCATTGTTACTAATGATCACTTAGTGTCATTTAGCATGCGAGCCTGCATGCTAAGTGGCTTCACTCATGTCTGACTCTGTGTGACTCTGTGGACTGTAGCCCGCCAGGCTCCTCTGTCAATGGGATTCTCCAGGCGAGAATACTGAAGTGGGTTGCCATGGCCTCCTCCAGGAGATCTTCCCAGCCCAGGGATCGAACCCAAGTCTTGTACATCTCCTGCACTGGTAGGCGGGTTCTTTACTACTAGCACCACCTGGGAAGCATACGATTACTGACTGCCAGGGGCCCGTCACTCTTCACATTGATCTTATATGATTGGAGCTTTCATTATCTCCGGTTAGGAAAAAAGAAACTAAAGTGTGGAAGGATTAAGTAATTTTCCCAAAATCAAAGAGTTAGCCAGTGAGAGAGCCAGGATTTAAACCTTATAAATGACCTTATAAATAAGCAGATAATCCTGATGATAATCATGTGCTGATGAGGGAAGAAACTTCAGGAAAAAAGAGCTCACTTTCAGTCATGATGTCAGAGATTCTGAGTCCCTTCTTAAATTCCAACATCAATTGTCCAAGGTCAGGAAAGGTGGGAGAATTTCCCAGTAGAGAGGACTCGCCCCTTCCTCTTTTTGTCAAGGAATTACTCTGTAATCAGCCCACCACACACACACTCCGTCTCTCTAGTACTCTGCCCCCAGGGAGGGCTCAGACCCCTGCCTTCATCCTGCTCAGCACAGCCCAGGTCAGACTGAGAAACACAGCTTGCTACCAAGTAATTCACATGAGAGCTTATCCTCTCTCAAAGCTCCTCCTAGGCTAGGGGCTTTCTACTGAAAGCACAGGCTCTGGACAGCATGCCTCAAAGCATCTGGGAATTTCTTAAAATACTGCATCTCTGACCCCTCCTCAGAATTGCTAAATCAAACCTATATTTAACAAGGTCTGGGATGACTCCTGTGAATATTAAAGTGTGAAAAGCCTGGCTTCAGGACACGTTTGTGTATAACTACCCCAGCCCTGCTTGCCTCCACATGACACTGATGGGCCTTCCCCACTTCCTCACAGTAGCCTCTGTCATGTCAGGGCATCTCACGTTCAAGGTCAAGGGAGAGACAACAATGCTTTTCTCTTCTAGCACATCTTCTGTCTTCTAGCTTCCTGTCCTCTTAATCCGGCATCTATCAGAGGTGCACACATGGTGGATAACAGGGCAGAGAAGCATCTTTGTTAAAAAGTGGCCTGGGAATTGAGTTATAAAAATAGGTATAATTGTGATGGGTGAGGTGAGAAGGTAAAGGTTGGAAAGACGGAGGGAAATCACATATGAGCTTCAGTACTGTGGAGAAAAGTAGAACGTAAACAGTGACTAACACCTGTGCAGTGTGTGAAAAAGGCTGCTGGAGAAGTTTAGATCTGATGGCCTCAAAAGACACAGACGTAATATTTCCCTGAATGTTAGACACAACCGTCAGAACAGAGGTGCATGCTCAGTCGCTTGCTCAGTTATGTCTCACTCATTATGACCCCATGAACTGTAGCCCGCCAAACTCCTCTGCCCATGGGATTCTCCAGGCAAGAATACTGGATTGGGTTGCCATTTCCTCCTCCAGGGGATCTTCCCAACTCAGAGGTCGAATCTCCATCTCCTCCATCTCCTACATTGGCAGATAGATCCTTTACTGCTTGAGCCCTTCAGAAAGCCTTAAAGGAGAGGTCATCCAAAATAAAAAGCACCACCCTACTTACTCAGGTAACAAAATATCAGAGAATGGGATGGAGAAGAAAGAAAGCACCCAGGTAGAAGTGGATTGTGATGTGCTGTTTCTGAAGGTCTGTTTCTGGCATGTTCCAGATGTGGCTGAGACCTTCAGCCTGTGGTTCCGACACTGGGGCCGTGTGCGGAGGGCAGCTCTGGAGACATAAACATGAACTCCCTTTAACTAAATTGCATCTGGCAATAAACAAGATCATAAATCAATAGATATTGCTGAAAGCTGGATTTTGAGACAACTTTCTCCTTTCAGTGAAATTTAGAGCCAAATTTCAGGGGGGAAAATAAGAGTAGTAAAATTCCTTGGCATTTTCAGACCACTTTAAGAGATTATTAGGCAGCCAAAATGAAGTATCGATAGCAAGGAAGATGCCTGATATTGAAAATCTAACATTATTAAGCATTATGGATGTTGATTAGAGAGCAGGTTAAACGTGCCCTCTGTACTGATGCAGGGGTTTCCTACTGACCACAAAGGCTCCCAGAACAGCATCACCTTCCTTCCCCACACTGGTGTTTAGTCATCGTCAGTTGGAATTGCATTTGGAGAACAGTGATAAGTGCTCAGGTACTAAAGGCTCCCATAAAGTGTCAATAAACTGCATAAGTAAGAGGCTTTGCCATTCTGCCAGTGACACGAAGACAGATGGTTCCCCCATCCATGAGTTTCTGAGACACAGCTTTTCTAGATAGGGGACAGGAATGAGACTGTAATGGAGAGATTCCATTCCTGTGATCGGGATGCTAAATTAATTTAGCCCATCCAGTTAGTGGAGCTTCATCTGTTACATTAGGGGCCTGTAATGTGGCTGTCAAGATGTGCTGGGATGTTTATGGCTTTGCCACCTGTGCCTTGTGCAGACCCACTAGAATTTTAACTTCCTGGATCCTTCTGCACGGGGCCCAGATCTGTTTCATGTAAAACTGTTTATCATTTGAACATCCAACTGATCTGATTTGAAAAGTCCTGGAATCTGTATAGCAGAGCTTCATGACTCCTTCGTTTGGGTTTCACTATAGTACATAATTTCCTGGGCACTTGATCCCAGGCTTAAAATGATGTTATCAGAGCCGTAGGGATCATAGGAGTAAACTGGTAGAACTGGCCCACTCTATATAGGAAGACGTTAAGACCCACAGAAGTTAAATGCTTTCTTTGCTCTGTATCTCATATCTGCTGGCACATATAGCCTGAGAGCCAGGTTGCTAGGCTTCCAGTCCAGGGCTCATGCCCTTGAACTCTTAAGCCAAAGAAGTTGCTGTCTTCTTCCTTTTGTCTCATTAGATTCACACCTTGATATTGATGTGATCCTTTAACCAGTGTGACTAGATAAAGTGGGAAACTGCTGTTGTCATACTTCTGCCTAATGCTGATGGCAGCTCATAATAATTGAGCACCTGCTTCTAAGCTGGATCTTGTGCTGCATGCATCTCATCTAGAACCTCACTTGGTCCTTGCAGTGACCCTGTATGGTAGGCAGCGTTATCACTTTTTTTTTTTTTTCACTTTTGAAAAGGAGATGTAGCTCTCAGAGATTAAATAATTTCCCACACATGTTAGTCTGAGGCAGAGTCAAGAGTCAAACCCCTAGTCTGTCGACCCCAAAGTCTGTTTCTAACCGCAGTACTATATTCATTCCTCCCTTGTTATGATGTTGAGTTGGTATTTCTTCTCCCCTAAGCAGAGTCCTAGCTCAGAGCTGTCCTGCTTTTTCAGGGCTGCCAGCTGAACGCAAAAGCAGGAACCCCTGCTTTGAAATGCCCTGGCATGGGCATTGCCGTCTCTGGTCACCTCTGCCCTCGAAGCAGCTACAGCAGCAGTGAGCTGTCTCTCTCCAGCACTTTCAGCGAGTATTCCAGCGGCTCCTCCTACACGTGGCATGATGGAAAGAACCTCAGGAAAAGGGTAAGACTCCTTCGGGGGCAGCGCAGCATCAGAGGGAACCGGAAAAAAAAGCCTCTTCTGGTAGGAAGGCGGAAGGTGGGAGGGAGGCCAAGAAGGAAACTACCATTTGCTAAGTCCTGGTTCTTTTACACCTCACAAAACCATAGAGGGAGATATTATCTTCCCCATTACCCAGAAGGAGAGATTGGCTCTAGAAGGTTAAGTTCCTTGCTAGACATCACACAGCCAGAGAGGAGTGGAATGATGACTTGATCTCAGATGATGGGGACATTATGGGAGGGAGTTTGGGAGAGAAAGACATTTTCCTTCTGTGCTTTGGTGGAACCCACAGAGTTCACAGATTTATATCAACTTGGAACTGGAGCCCTGGCCTAATGGAACTGACCATGCTTCAGACTGACTCAGACATTTTCAATTAGTTTTATAGACATTCTCCATCGCTGTGACGCTCAGAGAGACTTGTCGATGTCCAGTGCAAATGAGGCTGAATGAGGCCAAGTCATCCCAGACTGAGCATCCTATGAAAGCTCAAAGAGAAGGTTTTCTTCTGGAGAATAGGGAGAGAGGTGCATTCTCTCAGAATAAATGACCAAAAGTTTTGGAAGTCTCATTAGCTTTGTGGAAATTTACTGCTCAAAAATAGCAATGTAATATATTGACCTCCTCTATTCAATGCAATAGCCTCATAAAACTCTAATTGGCTATAAATTGAAGGAGGTACAGTAGAGAGAGAAAATGCTATGGTAGATTTCAAGCACCATAGCTTCACTGAAAGTCTCCACATGGATGTCAGGAGTTTCTCTGTCAGATTATTAAATAACTCCTGTGACTGGAATGACTCACATCTGCTAAGTGGGCTCACATGACAGAAGATTTTTTCATGATTTGAATAAACATCTTTGCACACCAGTATCAGTCAAGAATCTGGAATAGCTGTTTTCACAGTTTCCTTATATTAAAGAAAAACAAGATTGGCATTGACATACATACAATATTGGTATTATGTATAAAATAGACAACTAATGATAGCTTACTCTATAGCACAGGAAATTCCACTCAATACTCTATAATGGCCTATATGGGAAAAGAATCTAAAAAAGAGTGGATATATGTATAATAAAACATTCACTTTGCTGTTTACCTGAAAACTAGCAGAACATTGTAAAGCAACTATACTCCAATAAAAAACTAATTTAAAAGAAAAAGAAAAGTGAAGAGTACAGGAGTGTGGAAGCCCTGAATCTGAATATTTGGAGGTCAGTTTTCTATCATCTGTATAAATTGAGTTTATAATGTCAGAAGTGTAAAAAGCCAGAAAACTTCTATAACTGTCAGAAAATTCAAGTGAGGGAGGACATTTGTCATACTCCGAACAAGAACTGAGAAAAATCTTTCAAGCTTGGATTTAGAGTTTATTCCCTTGGACTCAGACTTACAATGCAAAGTGCAGAGCCTGGGGTGTTATCAAAACTGTTCTTTTAAGATGTTCGGAGTTCTGAGTAATGACTGCTAGGGACCTGGCTTTTAGCAGACCCGGGAGATGGTCGGGAGGATGTTCCCTCTCTTTGTCTCTGAATATTGCTGGCTCTCAGGGCCCCCACTCAGCACTTTTCATTCATAGCTATTCCTCTCTCCCTCTCAGCCTTTCTTCTTCTTCTTCTTTTTTTTTTTTTTTCCTTTTGGCTAAAATTTTTCCAGTTAGAGCAAACCTTGATCTTTTGGAGACATCTCTTCCCTGAAAGAGGAGGAATAAGGTTCTTAAGACACTTCTTAAATACCCCTGTAGACATCATCTGGAAATTTAATAGTGTCCTAACTCACAATGGCCATGGAGTACCAGCCTGCCTGTCACATTCCCCAGAGAAAAGTCTTCCTTCTCAGGGATCCAGCAAACTGACCCAGTCCTATTAAAACATTTTAAATGGCATTATTTAAGAAACTTAAGTTCTTACCATGTACCTAGTACTTATTTAGTATTAACTGGCATAATAAACTCATACAATATAAATTTGAACATGAATATTAGCTTACATAATAATAAATATATGACCATTGGCTCTTTGGTAGTTTATAAGTATTTTATTTTTAATATTGTTTTGTGTAGAAACAGAAAGGCAGGAATGAAACCTTCTTGAAGTGCACTGGCCTGCCCTTCATGTAGGAAAATGGCTCCAGTTACTGAGTAATTACCATGTGTCAGCTTTGTTAGCACTTCATAAGCACTAGTTTATTTAATGATCATGATAACTTATTACTTAGGTTTTCTTATTTCCCCCCTTTCACAGAGAAATAACCTGAGGTTCTGAGAAATTACACATCTATTTCAATGTCTCATAGCCAGTAAGCAGAACTGAGCAGTTGGCTCCAGAACCTCAACTGTTCTGCTAGACCTTGAATTAGTCTAAAACTTGGAAGAGTCCCAGGTGTTTGGATGGATTTGTTCCCATAAGACCAAGAATGTCCTTTAATAAAACAAGAACAAAAAAAGAATGTGTGAAACAGTTATCTATTCAAGAAATAGAAAAGAACTTTGGACATTAAACCCAGGCTCCTACCTTAGCAGCGGCATCATTCAGCCACTGCCCTCCTTCTAGAGCAACTCTCTTCTGACTTTCCTGCAAAGAATGAGGAGCTCTACCCCACCACCTCCCCACCAGGAGATTTGTGCTTCTCTTTCTCAGGTTTCAGGATTGTCTCCAGCTTTTCCCAAGTTATTAAGTACCATAAGCTTCTGTGCAAAACAGATTGAGGAATGTGGCTAATCTCACAAGGTGGGGAGCCTGGGCCCTGGGAGCTTTGCAGCTGCTGGCCCTGGGGATGAATCATACCAGAGCGTGGGCAGGCTGTGGGGCAGGAAGGAAGTGGGTGGGCTGACGCAGAGCACATCTTCTGTGGCTTGATCAAATCTGCCCCTTTCAAGCTGTGATGGAGCACTTCTATCTGGCTTCTCTTCTTTATTGTGAATGTGACATCAGAATCATGGAAATTCTTAGAAACCCAAGCTGTGGCAGTCTACTCACTGGTCAGTCTATAATACCCACTAAAGGGATTTTTTTCCTGCTTTCCAAAAATGTTTTTAATGGCACAGCAGAGGAGGAGAAGGAGCGGGGAAGGGAAGCATCACCAAAATAGATCTCTCCACAGCAACTTCTGACCCTGGAGAATTTTCCAAACAGAATATATAATTTGACTTCAAATTAAATATACGTATTACAAATAGAAAAAAAAAAATAAGACATGTTGATAGCAAAGGTCAGCTTTATGAAAACAAACAAAAAAAAGTCTTCAGTGTAAGCAAATGCAAGCAAATGCTCACAGCTTAGTAAAAATCTGAAATTCCAAAGTAAGTTTGTGACATTGAGTTGACGTCCACTTATGAGCATACGCGTGAGTGTTCAGGGTCCCAGGAGAGCAGGGCAGCTAGTGGAGAGGCCAACGGGAGCTGTAACTCTTAGCCAAGATTGGTACTGAGAACATGTATCAGATTCATTCATAGACATTCTTCAGCATTAATTATACAGCCTTTTTTAAAAAAAAGTCATTAGTTCTGAGCCTCCTAATTTCCCTGAGTGCTAGTTTGTGATTAAACTCTGCAACTTTCATTCAGAAGAGGGCTGTTGGAGTAACCTATGGTCTCTATTATGACTTTGACTAATACAGAGGGGAGAACATAGGCTAAGCCTGACTCTAGCAGTATCACTTCAAGATTAATGTGCATTCTTTAGAGCCAGACAGCCTGGTTCAGATCCCCATGCAGCCACTTCAGAACTGAGTCATAGAAAGGGCCCAGGAAACCAGAGTTGAAACTTTTGCGCTAGCTCTTCCTTGACCGTATGATCTCCAAAGGACAGATCTTGCTGAATCTGTTTCCTTCCTCTTAAAATAGGATTGATGTTGTCTGCTTCATGGTCTTGTTCTGAAAATTAAGTCGAAGCACTGGGTCAGTGACTGGTACACAGCAGATGCTCGGTCAGCATGAGTTTCCTCCTCCGCCTTTCTGTTTCTTGTTAGCAGTGTTTTGATAAATGTGAATGTCTGAGGAGAATGCCATGTTTTTTCTATGTCATTTCTTGGTCACATCTCCAGAACTAACACTGGTATTTGGAGAAATATGAAGAACAGGAAACTGACCTTTCAAAGTTAGTAGGTCAGTCACTGCTATGGGTTCTAACGGCAAATGGCCAGCTGCTCTAGGATGTGTATAAATATTTCACAGATATTCACTGCCTATCAAAATGAAGTCTTGAGGCCACATGACATTCTAACTTTCAGTTGTTAGAATGGAAGGGACTATAAGGCCTGGACCAACTCACTTTTCCTCTTACCCTCTTCACCTCCCATAAACGCTGCACAGTGAGCTGGATTGCCTTCTGATTATTCCCTAAGTGTTCCAAAGCATGCTTTTCCAATTAAGGTCTTTGCCATTCCATTTCTTCTACCTGGAAATCATTTCCTCTGGTTGAAAAAAGTTTTATTTTTAAAAACTTATCTATTATTTTTGGCTGCTCTGGGTCTGCACTGTGGTGCACCGGCTTCTCACCGTGGCGCTTCTCTTGTCGCAGAGCACAGGCTCTGGGTGCAAAGCCTGCAGTGGTTGCAGCACGCGGGCTCAGCTGCTCCACAGCATGGGGGGTCTTCCCCAGGGATCGAACCTGTGTCCCTTGCATTGGGAGGTGGATTGCTACCCACTGCGCCACCAGGGAAGTCCTCCTCTACTTTTCAACTAAGGCAATGTGATAACCAAATGGGGTTATAAAGATTGCATGAACTCCAATGAAGGAATCTATTCTCCAGGAATTAAAAGTAGCAGCCTGAAGGAATATCCACCCTGCAAACCCGCAGACACGGGGAGCCCCTGCACGGATCCCCACAAGGCGTTTGTTTATGACATGGATTCTCATGACGAGGCTGATGAGGACGCTTCCTCCTTAGCCTCGGTCCAAGTGGTTCCAAACCAGGGCTGCAGGCTACACAGTTGTAAATTAACTCACAGTGTCTCTGACAGCCTCTTTGGCTGGGAGCTGAATGGCAAACACTGTTCAGAGGTCACTTCCTCAGTCTACTCCAGGGAGAGGCCTGAGAAGCTGACGGGCTGTGCCAGCAACTGTCCCTTGGAGCAGAAGCTGTGCCCAGGCGTGCAGGGGCCTCGGGTACAGAGAGAGAAGGTCTCACCCAGCCAGGGCTGCCAGGCCCTCAGTCTCCAGCCCTCAGACGCCGGTGACGCGGAGGCCCTGGATGAGCTGCACATTGAGAGCAGTGACGAGAAAAGCCCTTCAGATGCGTCTGCAGCCGCGGACACCGACCGGTCCGTGGAGAGCCTGGACATCCTCACAGGATTTGAAAAATCTTCACGTGGGTCTCCTGAGGAGGAAGAAAACCAAGCACCCGTCCATTTAGAGAGCAGGCCAAAGACGTTTAGTTTCATTAAGCAGCAGAGGGTTGTAAAACGGACTTCCTCAGAAGAATGTATTACTGTGGTATTTGATGCAGAAGACGGCCAGCCCATTGAGCTCAGCTCTCACCAGACTGGCCTTGTTACTGTGACCAGAAAGGAGATTTCCATCCGTCAGGCCCCTGCTGGGCCCCGGATGGAACACGCTGAACTTTCACCTCAGGGAATTGCTCATTTACAGCCAGGGGCTGCAGCTAGAGACTACCCTTTTTTAAAGAGGTCTGAAGAGGAGACTGAAAGAAACATTCCACAGGGTGAGGTAGATGATACTGCCATGGCACCTGCTGTGTCTTTCCACCCCAGGACAGTGGCGCAAAATAGTCAAAGACGGGCCAAACCGACACATGTCACATCATGCCAGAGTCATTCTAGGTCATCTGTGGGCACAGGCATCTGTCAGAAGAAAAGTCTGACAAAAATACCTACCAGGGGCAAGCCTTCACCTCAGAAATCAAAAGTAAGGGAGCCTGAAGCCTCCCTGGTGATGCCCTCAACTGGCCCAGTGACTCTTGAGAAATCACCAGCTCCAGGGAATCTCTCACGGTTCAAAAAGACTGAAGGCCCAGCTCCCCTTTTTGATCTGCAGCCAGATTCACACATTCCAAAACCCCCCACCCAGCTTCCTCACGGCTCCAAGATGTCCAGCAGAAGGGATTGGATCCAGAGCTCCAAGAGTCAGATTCTAGCATCACAGTTGCTGTCCAGGACCCCCACTGAGCGGAGTGATGATGGAGAGCCCCCCACAAGGGATAAACACTGTGACCCAGGGCCAGAGCCTGGGGTGAAATCACCCTCCCCACCACCCCCTCCAGGCAGGTCGGTCTCCCTACTCATCAGGCCCAGTTATGACTTTTTTCCGCCACCTTCATCTGCCAAATCCGAAAGCAGGGTGCCCAACGAGACAGCAAGAATGGTATTGAAATCGCCCCCTCTGAAAGGATCCTCTGCTCCTGTTATTTATTTTAACCAGACCCTGACAGATGTGCAGGGGAGGAAACCATCTGTTGCCTTCAAAAAGCCTGTCTTCACTCCCTCACCACCCTCAGCAGAAACAGCAATCCAGATGAGATGCCCTGCTCACAGCCCTCTTGCTGTGATGGTCCCGGAGCCCCCAAAAGTCTGTCCAAAGAGAAATACCCCCAGAGCCCCACCTCACCAAACACGTGGGACCACACAGAACAACACAGGGTTACAGACTCCCAAGAACTGTGCTTCCCCCCGTGAGCCGCTGGAAATACCGTCCTCCAAGGGTTTACCTCCAGGGAGAAAAGAACAGTTGAGTGGCAATGTCTCTGCATCCTCCACGCCTGCCTTCTTAGGGGTGAGTGAGTCACCATCATCTCAGGTTAACAGCCCCTTATCATCAGCGTCCTCCAAAAGCCATAGCCCCCTACATGCGTGTCAGAACCTTCATGAGAGAGGACTGAAAACTCGCCTCCCAGTTGGGCTCAAAGTTTTCATGAAGTCTCCCCAGTTGCTCAGGAAAAGTTCCACAGTGCCAGGGAAACATGAAAAAGACAGTCTAAATGAAGCCTCGAAAACCTCCGTGGCTGTGAGCAAGGCTAAGCCAGGGGCCTCCAGAAATCCAGGCAGCCTTGAGGCCACAGGAGGGGAAAGAAATGCGTCTCCAGTGGGCTTACCAGCACAAGAGGGTTTGGCCGAAGGGCTTCCCCTGGAAAGAGCAATGCCAGAGTCACTGGAAAATAGCATGCCTGGGGCTGATAGAAAAGGTGGAGTAGAAAGCAGGTCTGTGAAAAGATCCCTGTCCTCCAGCAAACCACACCTGAAACCAGCTCTGGGCATGAATGGAGCCAAAGCCCGCAGCCAGAGCTGCAGTGCTCGCTCAGGGGAAGAGCCCCCCACGCCCCCCACAGAAGGGCTGGGCAAAGTCCGGACTCAGATTATCACCAACACCGCTGAGAGAGGCAGTTCCCTCACCCGGCAGAGCTCCTCCACCGAAGGCTCCCCCAGCAGGACTGCGTCTGGCCCTGGGTCTGATGGGCTCCCCAGCTCTGGGCGGCCCCTGGGACACCCTTCCCCTAGGCAGGGCTCCTTGGGGAGCACAGGCAGCCCCAGCAGCCGGCACGGGAGCCCAAGCAAGTTGCCTTTGAGGATCCCTCCAAAATCCGAAGAGCCCCTCACCCCAGCTGGAACAGAAGAGCAGCAGGCCTACGCCCAGGGAGAAGGCCCGGGGGCGACTGTACCTGAGGGGCCAGGCAGTGACCACTGCAGGTGCCCACTCACCCCAACAGATAGCTCAGGAGGCCCACAGAGTCTGGGGAGGACACCACATCCCAGCAATTTCACAGCAAGCAGGACCTCCAAGCTAGAAACTTCTGGAAGGTATCCAGACGCTTCTGCAACCAGGGCCGGTGTCGTAAGCCCAGAAGCCCCCCTCTCACCCACAATTGAAGAAAAGGTCATGTTGTGCATTCAGGAAAATGTGGAAAAGGGCCAAGTGCAAACAAAGGCCACCTCTGTGGAAGCGAGGCCGAAGCCGGGGCCTTCTTTTGCCAGCTGGTTCGGTTTTCGGAGGAGCAGACTCCCGGCTCTCAGTAGCAGGAAGATGGATGTCTCCAAAACCAAAGCAGAAAAGAAAGATGCAAAAGGTTTAGGGTTTGGAAACAAACAGCTGAAATCGGAGAGAAAGAAAGAGAAAAAGAAGCCTGAGCTAGAGTGTGAGATGGAAGATGAACTTCACAGGAACATCGAGTTGGCAGAGGGTCCAGACAGTGGTCTGCAAAACAGAAATAACCTGAAAACACCGCCAGACATTTATGACCAAGTGAAGTTTGAATCGAGAAATAGACCCAGCCCTGTTCCATGTTCAGCGAAAGATACCTTTATGACAGAACTTCTGAACAGGTAGTGTATTGGCAAAGAGAGTGAGAGGGTGGCAGTGTGTAGAGCAGTGCCGGGCCCCACCCCAGCCCCCACCCAGGAGCGCTTTTTGTCTCCTGCATATTGAATACCAGTCAAGCATGTTTTTCATACAAGCAGGAATGCATCATAGCAATCTTTTATACATTAGCCAGAATTTAAACAATGGAATAAAAGTTAGCAATAAAATGATAATTTAGTCCATGTTACTCTGTTAACCAAACCAATGGTCTCTGAAATTAAAGAACGGTAAATTTTTATCAAGGTTGATAGAAATTCAACCTACGCTAGAAATCATGAATGGATCCACATGGCATGAAATGGAAGAAAATTACACATACATTTTAAAGGATGCTGATCTCACTTATTGTACCAAGCAAACTTATACTTAAAACTTTCCAGAGATAATTACATATTCTGCTGATCTTAAGCCAGAAATATATTTAGCCATTCTCCCCCAGTCTCCACTCTCATCCAGGGTGCCACATGTGTATGTATATCTGAGTTGCTCTGCTGTGCAGCTGAAAATATGACAACGTTGTTAATCGGCGATACACCAATATAAAATGAATTAAAGTGGAGAAAAAAAGAAATATATTTAGCAATCCCTCCTCACAGGTTTTTATTTTATGCCCCGCCTCATCTCACAAGCAATCATGAAAAATAAAAAACAAACTATTGTTTTATCAAATCTAAATTGACACACTGCTGAAATAGCAGATGCAGATTTGACCAAGGCCAGTGAGACACACGTATCACTCAAAGGTTTCAAGATAAAGAGATACATGGAGGTTCCTTTAAACACTAAAGGATTGGGGTAAGTAGAGGGATTGAAGAAGAGCAATGTAATTGATCAGAGGAATCACTTTCCACCTGCAGAGTTGATAAGAAAGCAGCTCAACAGACAGAAAGTGGATCAAATAATGTCTCCTGTAGGAGTGTGTTAAAGGGCAGCTCCCAGGGCTCCTGTCTCACCAGCAGCTCTCTCAGCACTCAAGGAAACCACAAGAAAAACATCAAAGCCAAAGCAGATATGGAAATACCGAAAGGCTCCCTGGTAAGTATGTCACCATCCTGGTTATGAAGTGTTAGGTCCCTATACGGGCTAGTTGGGTTCTGTCTACTTTTTACTGATGAAAATACAGGCAAGAGATGACCAGGAAGGAGAAAGTTAAAGCCAGAGAGAAAAGAGAGAGAAGTCATGGAGACACTGTTACAGAGATGGGAAGGGTCCCAGCTCCCTCCACCTTTTGTAGCTCTTCTTTTGTAGGAGAGCTGCTGCTTTTGTAGCTCTCTTTTCAGACCCTTGGTGTGATCACAGTGCAGGCAGTGATGCTGTGGGTGTTCACCTTCACGTTGTACCCTTGTGCTGGAAATTCATTATGGTGATTAGTTCCATCATTTCCAGCAACGCAGAAGGGAATGAAAATGATTAGGAAAAATACAAATGCAAAACAATTTAAGAGAATGCTGGCTATTTTGATGATCTGATTTAAGCAGTTCCCCTTTTTTCCTTAAGTTGTATATACTGTTTAATCCTACCTAAGATAGAAGGAGGTAAGATTCAAGGTATCATTTTTGGAACTTGACTCCCTATCATTTTGTTTTTTAATTATGAGGTTCAGAACTCAGGGGGTAATTTCCTTTTAAAAAATGAATAAAAGGTGTTTTCCCAGGATATGCTAGTTTCACATATTTTTGTTTTAAAATTATCTTAAATTGAACTTCCTCTCCTTACATTCTTTCTGTTCTTGTATCATTGATCTTGTGATAGTCATTGTTTCTTTATGTAAACTTTAAAACATGCAAACAAAACAAAAATCTGTTTTCAGAATTACCGTTCCCATATATTTGTGTACTCATAATAAAAGATTATAAAATATACTAGGTACTACCCTTTTTCTTTCCTTTTTCAGGAAAACCTGAAAAATGAAGGAATTAGTCATGTTTTTCTGGAGTGGTTCAAGGATAGAGGAGATTTTAGTAGTAATCATGATTGGCATTATTATTAATTATTAGTTAATAATAATTAAACTCTAGGGTTCCTTAAAGTTTCACTTTAATTTGAAACAAATGTACACTTAAATGCTTTTTTTTTTTCAAACAGCTCTTTACTCTAAAAAGCTATAAGGTCTTTTTGTTGTTGTTTTTCAGACTCTGAAATCGTATGCAGACTATGTTCTTTGCAAAAGTTTTTTTTTTCTTTCTCCTTATTCTTGCTCTTGGCTTCCATGATATCACCCTTTCTTGAAAAGGTAGATTTCCCTTGCATTATAAAATCTCAAATTATAAGTGTATCTAAGGCTGCCCTTGTAGTGTCACTGAAAGAAAGAGAGAGAATGAACGTGTGGAAATGTGCAATATGCTGGAAATTCAATCCAGCTGATCTAAAACTTTGATAGCCTAGCAGAGCCCCTTATCAGAGGCACTCAATTTAACTATGCCCCATTTAAGATGGTTCTGACAGCTTGGGATATATCATCACTGTACAAAAATACCAAAAAGGGAAAAAAAAACACAAAACTCTGTTTAGCTTTTACAATTTCGTTTTTACTTACCTATTACTTCCTAATGCGAAAGTAATTTGCCTTGCTTTTCTTCTCTCATTTGCAGTCTTTTACAATGTAGTTAACAAATTTCATTTCATCTTCCCAGAATATCTGCAAGAAATACTCTTATTGTTCTTGGAGAACAACCACTCCAAGTATACATAATCCATCAGTTGTTAGTCACTCAGTCATGTCTGATTCTTTACGACCCCATGGACTGTAGTCCTCTGGGTTCCTCTGTCTGTGGAATTTTTCAGGCAAGAATACTGGAGTGGGTAGCCATTCCCTTCTCCAGGGGATCTTCTTGACCCAGGGATTGAACCTGGCTCTCATAGGATAATTTTCTAGTTAGCTGCAAGAAGAAATTAACTCGTGCTGGGAAGCTTTCAATATAGAGAAATATTATTAACCTAGATAGTTGACACGCTAGTCATTTTTTCAGATGTAAAATGCAGTTTTTTTCATCTCTGTAATCATCAACATGGATTGGACTAAAATTACTAATTCCAGAAAGGACAATGGCCATAATCCCTTTTGGAACTATTAAAAGAATAGCAGTGAAAACTGATTCATTATACGTTATCAGCCTATATAGAAAGGAAATTAGATGCAAAATAAGATACATTCTAATACCAGAGCACACTGATGTGAATGCTCATTAACCTTTTAAAATCAAGAGTTTAAGGGAATTTTCCTTTACTAGGGCTCAAGGTAAATTTGCTATCTGCTTCTTGTGTTGCAAGTGTGTTACAAAAATTTCTTCTCACAGTAGTTATTTTGGGTGAAAACAATAGCTGCACATAATGCATTACATAGCATACTTTTTCCCTGAATAAAATCACTCTGCAAACATCATACCAAGAACTTCCCTGGAGTTCCAGTGGTTAGGACTCTGTACTTCCACTGCTGAGGGTATGGGTTCGATCCCTGGTCAGGAATTAAGATTCTGAATAATGTGAGATGCAGTCAAAAAAAATTTTTTTTATGCCATAATATACCATCATCCTTGCCCTTTACAAACTAAGACTATTTGTAGTCATGAGAGTCCTAAGGCTTTTTCATTATTTTAATCTGTGTCTGTATGTTCAGTCGCTCAGTTGTAAATGACTCTTTGCAACCCCATGGATGTTAGCCCACACGGTTCCTCTAGCCATGGTATTTTCCAGGCAAGAATACTGGAGTGGGTTGCCACTTCCTTCTCCAGAGGATCTTCTTGACCCAGGGATCAAACCTGCGTATCTTGTGCTGCCAATCTGCATTGTCAGGCAGATTCTTTTTTTTTTTATTTTATTTTAATTCTTTTTATTTTTTTATTTTTTTATTAGTTGGAGGCTAATTACTTTACATCATTACAGTAGTTTTTGTTATACATTGAAATGAATTAGCCATGGAAATCCATGTCAGGCAGATTCTTTACCACTGCTCCACCTGGGATGCCTTTATTTTAATCTATGGTAATAAAATTGAGAAGTTATTTCTGTAATGTAACAAGTCCCTGTATGCAGCACACCTCTACTTAATTCGTTGGTGAATTCATTCATTCATCCATTTTCAAGATTGCTAGATGCTTTCTAAAATATGTGTGAAAATCCCATTAACACTTTACCGAATTAAATTTTTTTTGTTTTCAGAGCCTTAATTAAAGGCTTATGTCCCCATCTGTGCCATGATTTACAGGCCACTTAGCTCTAATTTTTGTGTAATTTTGACAAGGGCCATATTACTTTGTATTTTTACTTAAATTATGCAAAATCATTATGAGGGGGAAAAAGGCATCCCCAGAAGAGATTGCATCAGTATTAAGTAAATAAGTCAGAAATAAATGCACTCTCCTTTCCATAGGTTGTAGATCCATCCTTTCTATGAATTTAGATAATTTTCTGAAATGAGAAGTCTCAAAGGAACAGATCCTATTTAACTGTCACTGGACATAATAAAAATCACTAACAAAATTAACAAGATCATATACTTGGTAAGAGAAGGCTATTTTAATATGGGTATTTTAATTTAAATTATGAGTATTCTCTTCACCTAGTGTCATATAGGCTGAAAAAAAATCACATATGCTAATAATAAAATATCAAATTCAATCCCATTAAAGTTGTGGTGATGAAGTAGTGTAAAATGTATAATAATTACACAAATTGTTATCATCTTATTAAGTTCTGCAAAATTTTATAATTTCAACATCTTTAATTGAACACTTCTGTTCTAAATACTGTTTGGATGCTAATAAGAAGCATGCCTGTTTTACCCTCCTCCTGCAAAGCGTTCTAAATGACTGACTTTTCTAAAGGTAATGCCTTCCAGGAGTTTTCCCTCCAAAGATCTCTTTTCTCATCTCACAGAGGTTCATTATATTCTTTTCCTTTTCAGTGAGCTCTAACATCAAAATGTTGTTTTTTGGGAAAGCAATTCATGTTAGGATGATTCAAAAAAGAAACATACACAGAATTCTAAATGAAGGATGTCCCCAAATACTAGGTTTTATTCTGCAATTATGTAGATATTTGTCAGCAGTGAATTATTTTCTCTGTTTCCTCCTATGTCCTTTGTAACTCATTCCTCCCAGCCTTTTCTAACGGGAGAGGTTAATAGAATATAATGGGCACAGTGACATTTAAGAGTTACTTGTTAGAAATTTAGAAACTGGTATTTAGTAAGCTCTTCACCACAACTGCAGAGCTCAAAAGATGGGCAAGAGTTGGAGGTACACGCACCATCAGAAGATGCCCAGCGTACTGACAGCAAACTGATACCAAACTGTCCCACATTTGGGACTTCCCTGCTGGTCCAGTGGTAAGACTTGGTGCTTCCAATGCAGTGGGTGTGGATTCTCTCCCTGGTTGGGAAACTAAGATCCTGCATGCCCCATAGTATGGTCAAAAGAACAAAGCCCACACTAGTTGTCCATGAAGCACTTGCTATTAATACTTCTTACCAAGTGGTGGGACATTACTGACTTTGATTTGTATCTGTTTCTGGTAGAGCAATGGCTGAAGAAATTCTAAATCTCTAAACACCTTGTTTGCTGAATCAAACCTTTTGGTTTTGTGACCATTCCCATCTGTGAAGTGCTTGGCCACGTGAAGAATTCACTTTGACAAATTCTTCTTAAGCTGGCAGCCCTTTGCCCCCTGGAAGTTCCCCAACCTTTTGCCAACATCCAGCCCCTATGTGATCAAGAGTGAAAATTAATTTTAATTTCAGCCTATGAAAAATATAATTAGCAAGGGGAATCTGCTGCCAAAATAAATTATGCCCCTCATTTCCATAGGCAAATGGGTTTTTTTAATTACTCACCACTTTGCATTGAAATCTATTTGTATGGATAATTAGAGCTGACAAGTGTGCCATTCTAAGACACTACCCTATATTCCATTCCTTTGTTGATTCTTCACCCATCCCCTTCCAATTCAAAATTTCCCCTCATGGGTCATCTGCTCCTCATGGATCATTAGCCCAGAGGAGCTGAAGGAACTAGGGGCCTGTCTATAATGATGAAAATATAAATAGACTTCCTTGATATTTCTATAAATGAGGATAGAAAGTTCCTGTTGAATTCTTAATGGAAACGAAGGTGTTTGGATCTCCCTCCTTTTGGGTTTCTTGGCAGCCTTGTTACAAGAGGTGGCTGAGCTAGGTGAACTTTGGAAGGCAATTAAGTAACATCGTCTTGATGATGCTCACAGAGATGTTCCTCTCTGCTTTCCATAACTACTAGAAACAGAGCTGGTTGATCGTGCTTTTCTTCCCTTATTCCCTAACTCCCTTCCTCCAGATGTGCTAACAAAACAGTGCCAACTGCAGACAGTTGATAGGGAGAGAAAGAGATGAAGCATGGCCTTTGGATACTCAGCCCTTAGCACACGCTTCTTGTGAGGGTTCAGATAGCCATTGACTAACCCCCTTGAGTGTGCCATCTGCTAGCTATTCGTATGTATGGATCATGCACCAGTTACTTCTGTTATTGGAACCCTAGTCATGAAATGTAAATAATTGGTCTTATTCCATTAATTATGAAAAGTAAGAGGGTAAAAAGTGGAAATCTAAGTCTAGCTCAAGGTCAGTTTACAAGTATATGACTTTCTATGTTGTAAGTATAAAATAATGGTTTCTCAGCCTTCAACTCGAACCCCTGAACAGATTCACTGACAACCTCTAGTGTACCCCCACTGCATTCATTACACAATTCGCATTACTATCACTGGGTGGCTGGAATGCACTTTCAAAGAGATATTCAGTATCGTTCTGCCAAGGACCATAGCTGTCTTGACCTTTTGGCCAAGTCTACACTGACAGTGTTCAGTGGAAATTTGAGAATAACAAAATTTCACCAAATGAACACAAATCTGAAACCAGATTTGCTGTGTTTGAATCCGGGTTTCACCACCTGGGCAACTGCTTATCTTTTCTATTTCTTCAGGGCCTTTATCTCCAAAACGGAGCTAACAATAGCACTTAACCTCTTAGCATTGTGAGGGATGTGAGAGCATAGGTGTGAGGAGCTTAAACAGCTCCTGATGCATAGTAGTTAAGCATTGGCTGTTTTTATTACTACTGCTACTAGACTGGGAAGTATGGGATATGAGTTTTAAGTTTCAGTGTTGGCATTTATGGTATCTTTAAAGAAAGTTGCTGGATTTCAAAATTCTCATTTGTGAAATACTGTGATTTTATTAGATTCTTGCTCAAGTTCCATTTGGTACTGCTCTGAATATCCCAGCTGAAATACAAGGAGGATGTTTTTGACCTGAAAAAAATCTAAATAAATGTGTCACCATCCTAGTTCACTGAGCACGCATCATAGTCACCTCACATTTCATTCTGGAAAGAGCAACAACAAAATAACATTTTCTTAGAGTTATATTCTAGGAAAAGGTCAAAAGATCTAAATGTATTTCTTTATTCTCATTAAAATAACTTGTGGGATAGTCACTGTCCCTGGAAGAATTATGTTTCCTTAGACTTTAGTTTTTCCTAACAGCTCTGTGTTACTGACTTTTTTAAGTATTTTTTAAAAAAAACAAAACCCTAAAGCTGTTATCTCAAAAATCTTTGCAGAATCAAATACTCTGTAAGAGCTGGTATTATATTTCTGAAAATATGCTCTTATAATTAAAACTTGTAATAAAGCCAAGCTATAGAGTAAGGTAAAATGAAGTGAAGAAAATATATCTGTATATATGTACATACACTCAGATGCATACATACCCACGTTTGTTATAGAATGCACCAATATTCTGAGGATTACAAAATCAATTTAATATAACATGTAAGAACTCATTGTATTTCCTTGTTTCTTCAGATAAGAGAGGCAAATGAACACCTGCAAGAGAATGAAGAAGATACAGTTGCAGATTCTGCATTTCAGAGCCGCAGCATAGGTAAGAATTCACGTCTCCATACGTCTTTAACTGACATTTTCTACATGCAACCTTATTTCAGAGATGGCATGTTCTTAAAGAACATGTCTTATGCCCACTTCTACCAGGATAGGATTTTAACTTCTGATACATGGTTTTCTTTACCTTCTTAAATATTGGAAACTACCATAAAATAAATGGGTCAAAGCAGAACCTATGAAGAAAACATAGGTGTTTACAAAGGAATGCAATGCAAACTAGAGTGAGACCTTGTCAATATACAATGGAAATGATACTGATGTAAATAATTTCTCTCTGAGGAGAAAATCAACTTTGAATTGATCGAGTTTCTATAATTGTCTCAGGAAGCACCTCTGTTGGCTTGAAATGTGGACTAGTAACTTTCTTATACTGAACACTTTTTTTAATTGCATACGTTTTACCCAGAGAACTAAATAGATACTGTTGTTGTTGTTGTTTAGTGACTCAGGCATGTCTGACTCTTGGACCCCATGGACTGTAGCCCGCCAGGTTCCTTGGTCCATGGGATTTTCCAGGCTAGAATACTAGACTGGGTTGCCATTTCTTTCTCCAGGGAATCTTCCTGACCCAGGGATCAAACCTGAGTCCCCTGCATTGGCAGGTGGATTCGTTACCACTGAACCACCTGGGAAGCCCCAGATTAAGTATTTACAGCTTCCCAAAATCTCCAACTCATTTTCTTTACATTTCTGTTAGAACCCTGATTGTAGGTAGTCCTGTCTCAGAGATATATTTGGCTTCTCAGCTCTGTCCTAGAATTTTGCATGAGCCTCCATTGAAGGGACTCAGGTTTCTAACACAAAGGGATTTTCCCAGCCTGTTTCCATCAGCCAGGAGGTAACTGGTAATAGAGTAGCTGTCTATGACCGTGATCCTTGTCAGGAAATAGAAGACGTGATAACCGCTCTAGGACACCTTGGACATTTCAAAATTAATTGTTCTTTGGGCTCTAGAAATAGCTGTGAATGTAAGCTTGCTAATTATTTAGTTTTACACAAAACTTCAAAGCATGAAGAGTCATTTTTTTCAAATCACATTTGGGTGTATAGACAGTACTGATTACTGTACTCTGGGGTAGGACAGCCCCACAGATGTCTGGTTTCTGTTATCATCAGTATTCATTGCACTTTTTCCTGTTCTTTCCCTGGATTACCTTTAGCTTCCAGCTCTCAGCATCTCACCACTCCTAGCTCCATGTTGGTATGTTTTGCAGCTGTTTTTCTAGCTTACCCAGCTCTCTTCTCCCAACTACAATTTACAGTTTATCTCAGAGAGTTATTGTACCCCCAAAGTTTAATAAGATTGGCATACCATTGTTATTCTTTTCTGGTGTAATTGGGAATATAAAAGTCTTAACAACAAAATGAGTGGAATCTGAATATTTTTATTTCAGAAAGACATCCTTTAGTACAATTGTCAATGTAAAATGCTTAATTTAGTATCAGTTCTGTATAGTTAGCTAATATGCAAGTTAAATATTATTCAACAATCTTCAAAAATGGCACTGTAAAGCCCCACTGAGTCATATTTTTTCTATAATGAAGTGTTCTTGGGCTTTTCAGTTCAGCTCAGTTCAGTTGCTCACTCGTGTCTGACTCCTTGCAACTCCATGAACCACAGCATGCCAGGCCTCCCTGTCCATCACCAACTCCCGGAGTCCACCCAAACCCATGTCCATTGAGTCGGTGGTGCCATCCAACCATCTCATCCACTGTCTTCCCCTTCTCCTCCGGCACTCAATCTTTCCCATCATCAGGGTCTTTCCCAATGAGTCAGCTCTTCACATCAGGTGGCCAAAGTATTGGAGTTTCAGCTTCAACATCAGTTCTTCCAATGCACACCCAGGACTGATCTCCTTTAGGATGGACTGGTTGGATCTTCTTGCAGTCCAAGGGATTCTCAAGAGTCTTCTCCAACACCACANTGTGATTCACACAGTCAAAGGCTTTGGCATAGTCAATAAAGCAGAAGTAGATGTTTTTCTCTTGCTTTTTCGATGATCCAACGGATGCTGGCAATTTGATTTCTGGTTCCTCTGCTTTTTCTAAATCCAGCTTGAACACCTGTGACTTCACGGTTCATGTACTGTTGAAGCCTGGCTTAGAGAGTTTTGAGCATTACTTTGTTAGCGTGTGAGATGAGTGCAATTGTATGGTAGTTTGAACATTCTTTCGCATTGCCCTTCTTTGGGATTGGAATGAAAACTGACCTTTTGCAGTCCTGTGGCAACTGCTGAGTTTTCCAAATTTGCTGGCATATTGAGTGTAGCACTTTCACAGTATCATCTTTTAGGATTTGAAATAGCTCAACTGGAATTCCATCACCTCCACTAGCTTTGTTCACAGTGATGCTTCCCAAGGCCCACATGACTTCTCCCTCTGGGATGTCTGGCTCTAGGTGAGTGATCACAGCATCATGATTATCTGGGTTGTAAAGATCTGTTTTGTACATTTCTTCTATGTATTCTTGCCACCTCTTCTTGGGCTTTTACAGTAACATATACAAAGTTAGAGGCTGCATTTTGTTTGAGAGAGCTATAGTTATCTGGATACTTTCTATAGACTAGCAATCCTTTAGATCTATACTGTTTGACATGATAACCAGTAGTCAAATGTAGTTGAGACTCAACTTAAATTCATTAAAATCACATAAAATTAAAAATTCAGCCTGTCAACTGAATTCTTCAGTTGCGTTAGCCACATTTCAAGTGTCCAATGGCCACATATTCTGTATGGCCTGTATGAACATGTCCATCATCACACAAAATTCTTCTGGAAAGTGCTCGTTTAGAATACTCTTGTGGAAGCAAATTTGAACTCTGTTTCTGACAAGAGAACTGACTTGGTCTTCACATAATTGTAGACTCATCTCCTCAGACAAGTGAAGATCTATCCTAACAAGCTGCTACTGGCAGCAAGTAACAACAAAACTGACTAGCCATGACTTAAGTAATGAAGTCACTGAATCGTCTTATGTAATTAAAAGTCTGAAGGAAAGCAAACATAAAAGAGGAGCACCAGCTCAACAATGCTGTCTAAAGCCCTGTTTGTTTGTTTGTTCATCCTCGTCACTTCTGGTTGAAAATTGATTCCTACCTCTCTACGTATCCCAGCTATATTCAGGACACAAAGCGTAAGGAAAATTAAAAATTTTTCAGAATCCTCCCCACTGTGGACTTAATATTACATGTCATCAGTGAGAACCAGGTCATAAAGCCAATCTCAGGTGCACAGGGAGCTGGGAAAGTCAGTATGTTGCTTTCCGGCCCCTGTTGCATGAGATAGCAGAGAGAAGAGGGGTGAAAATGTTCTCTGAGTTAGACAATCGATAACATTACCACAGGCCTTTTAAAAAGTTCATCCATTTCAAGGCTGAGTGACATTCTACAAATCAAGTGGTTATTTATCTTTATTGCACAAAAATGACTGAAAAAATATTTTAGCACCTGAAAATCCCAAAGTTCCTCATTTTGTCTAAGCTAAGTGTTATCACATATCTTCCCAATATTTACAACCATTGTATATTTCCAATTTTCTCAGCAACTGAGCAAATCTAAATATGGTCTTAAAACCAAGCAGCTGCTAATATCTTTGACAAAGAACAACAATCAGAAAATCTGTGAAACTGAATGTTTATATTTCTGTGGTTAAGGATAATCATGTCAGTTTAATCAAAATGATATGAGTTGATTACAAAGCAAGATATTGTTAACTTGTTCTATATTGAAATTTAAGATTCATGAATGAAGTAATACAACTAGATTTTTTTCTTTAAAGTTGCCCTAATAGATATCAGACTTTCATGTTAATAAGCAACAAGCAAATGACCATACTAGCCTAATATAAGTATTAACATGAATAATCACAAACACCAATTGTTCTTTCTTGCTGTTTAACTGTAATAGATTCACCCAGTGTATTATGCTAATTATCTAATAAGATTAAATGATCAGTAGGAATTCAAATAACATTACCTCATATTAAAAACATCAGCTAATGATAGCATCAAAAATAATCTCCTAAGAGGAGACAGGGGATTTGGAAATTCCTTTAAGGAGGAAGAGATGTCTTTTGAGGAATTTGAGCAAGAAGCAAAGCAGAATTAAATGATAACAAAGAAAACTAGGCTGCATGGTAAACTCTTGTGAAGTGAAAGATGTGTGGTATTTCCCCAAATCTAAAAGAGTTGTTGTGGAGTGGAAGTTTGCATGCTCAACACACAGTGAGGCCAACAAGGCAAAACATCCGAGTTTGGAGCAGAGAAAGGTTTATTGCAGGGCCCTGCAAGGAGATGGGTTTCTTGTGCCTAATAAGACCCCAAACTCCTGGATGGGTTTCAGCAAAACACTTTTAAAGGCCAAGAGATGGAGGGATGTGGTTAGTTGTTGCAGACTTCTTGGTCTCGGAATCAAGAAGACCAAGACTGACTTTGTTCTTGCAGCTGTCCACATAGATCAGATCACAATATTCCTGTTAAACGTCCAACAAGACAAATATTATTGTCTGTTCTGCAACTTTTTATATCTGTATGAATGGACCCTGAAAGGTCCGAGTCGTGAGAATAGGCTGTTCTATATATTACAAGGTATAGGTAACCGTGCTTTTACAGAAGGTTCAGAGCCAGCCTGACTAAGCTTGGGAAAAGGAGCAGACCTAATATGGAGTCAGATCTCTCCTCCCCTGTTACAGAGTTACAGAGAACAATTTGTCCAGTAGCACAGTGGGCAACTGTTCCGGTGCCTCCTTGTGGAGCATAATTTGTTACTCTCCCTTATTGGCTAGGTGCACGCCCAGTCTCTTCTAAAAGACCCCTTCTGTCTCCTCCTACCAGAGGAGGATGTGACCAGGGACATGGTCTAGTTCTGAGTATCTTGAGGATGAAGTTCTCTTTGTTTAGCTCTGTGAAGTTGCCTTGGTGCTGTCCTGCCCGACTCAGTAATTGCCTCCAAGAGCTCTCCTGTTGTCCTTCATCCCTCCCCA